GGGCAGCGGCTCTTTCTCTCCAAAGAGCTAACAACGCCCGCTGCCTCCTGCCATCCCTATCTTTCTGAATGACCCCCTTTTCCTTCCCCACTGCTCTGGGACCCACTCCACTCCTGGCCCCCACCTCTCCCACTAGGGTTTTCATCAAAGGTCCTCTATGTTTTCATCACAAATATAGTCCTAATACACTCTTAAAGGAGCTACTAATGATTGCGGAGCGTTACTGTGCGCCAGAGCAGCTGGACCCCATTCTGACAGCGTATGAGATGGTCGTAGGTGGCGGCCTAATGATGGTTTATTTTAATGGGTACCTATTACTTTAATGTACATTAGAAAAAATATATAGCCAGCATCTGTGATTTCACAGATATAATTGCTCAGGCTATGTCCAAGTTAAAAAAATTTGATTTCCTTTTTATAATTAAGCACATAACAGTAGTAGAGGCCAAACCAAACTCTTGATTCTCCCAGCCCCAAAGGTACCCCTCTTCCGGGGTTCCCTAAGCATGTAAAGGGGACCGCTGTTGTTCCAACTGAAACTCTGCAGTCCTTCTTGACCCTTCTTCCTGTCACGCACCCCACACTCCACCTGTCCGTAAATCCTATCAGTCCTTCGAAACCCAGCCAGAACCCGGGACCCCTCACCACTCCTCTGCCACGGCTCTAACGCCCGGACAACGTGGAGCGCCCCTCAAACGCTTCTCTACGCAGGGCTCCTTTCCTTCTCCAATCACAAGGCAGGCTGCATCAGGCCCCCACTCCAAACCACCTGAGACATTCCCATCACACCTAGAACAGAACCAAAGTCCACACCCGCATTCGCAAGGCTCCCTGGGACCTCGACTACCACGGCCCCGACGAGCTCCATTCCTGCCACACAGGCCTCCCTGACATTCCCCACAGGCCTTTGCATCCCGTAGACAGGAAGACTCCCTCCCACACCCCCCACGTCATCTCATCAAAGGTTGAGAGGTCTTCCCCTCACCGCTGTCTAAAACAGCCCCTCCAACATTCTGTCCGTGATTCCAGACTCTTCTTCCTCACAGCACCACCTGATCTCATATCACAGATATTATTATTTTTGAGGAAGACTAGCCCTGAGCTAACTGCTGCCAGTCCTCCTCTTTTTGCTGAGGAAGACTGGCCCTGAGCTAACATCCATGCCCATCTTCCTCTGCTTTCTATGTGGGATGCCTGCCACAGCATGGCTTTTGCCAAGTGGTGCCATGTCCGCACCTGGGATCTGAAACGGCGAAACCCAGGCTGCCGAAGCAGAACGGGTGTACTTAACCGCTGCACCACCAGGCCGGCCCCAATGGATACTATTATATCGTATATAATCTGTCTTTATTCATAAGCTCCAGGAGGTCAGTGTCCCCTGCACCTGCACAGTGCCTGCCACATCGTGAGTGCTCAGTGACACTGAGGGAATGAACGGCAGGCGTTCATCATAGCAGAACTGAAGGTGGACTGCACAGCTGGAGTGTGACCACACCAGGCCAGGAGCCTAACGAGTTAGCTCATTTAATACTAAGCACACTCCTGGGAGTCCTCTCGGTAGTGGAAACCGGGCTTCAGGGATGTTAAGTGACTTGCCCAAGGCCATACGGGACTCTGCTGTCCAGGCCTGAAGGCCCAAGTGCTTGTGAACACATCAAGTCATCTTCAAAAGCTCTTCTTCTCTTCAAAAGACCTTCTAAGGTGCCACACAGCCTGGGGACCAAAGGTAAAACTCCTCAGGATGACATTCCCCGAAGCGCTCTGCCATCTGGCCCCAGCACCATGTCAGCAAGCCTCCAGGCTTCCTGCAGGCCTCCGCTGACCCGGCCAAACCAGGCCAACCACAGCCCCTCCACACTGACCCTAGAGCGCCTCATGCAGTGTGCTGTGGTACGCGGCTCCTTCTCCCAAGCAGGACTGCAAACGCAGTGAGGGTGGGACCCGCCTTATTTATCTTCGCATCCCCAGGCGCAGTAACCACAGACTAGCAGCCCTCACAGCCATCTGCTGAATGATGGCATGTGAGCTCCTCTCACCAGACTCACGACAGTGAAGGGCAGGTCAGCAAGCCCCGAACACCACCTGGACACTTCGACACGCTGTGGGCAGGGATGTCTTGATCATCATTAGGCTGGGAGGGGCCTTGTATGACATCCCTGCCATCTCCTTACCCTTCCATCAAATGCTATGTGCTGACAGTGAACTAGCCCATCTTTAAAAGATTCCACCACCACCCAGGAACACATTCTGGAGCTGGTAAAGCTCACCGTCTGTCTAACCCAAGTCCCTTGGGATCCATCACACCTAGAAGGGAGGGAAGCTGGCAGCCACTCTCCTCAGCAAGTCAAGTCGGCCTAGAGCAGTTACCACTTCCAGCATTTGCCACAATCCAGCCAGTGTTTCTGGAATGTTTACTACAATGGGGACATTTACGCAGGGGCTGCGCCCTCTGGGAGCTTACAAAGCAGAGGGCCAGACCCATCTAATCAACTCAACGACAAGGCTGACCTGCCCAGCTACAGGGGTAGCCAAAGGTGTGCGGGTGAAGAGAGCTGTTCCCACCAGAAGACCTGGGAAATGCTGTCGTGGAAGAGCAATTTCAGAGTTTACAAAAAGCTCCTCATCGGTATGCAGCAGCGCAGGTCACTCCCCCACCTTCTAATTCTGATGCTTCAAGACCCTCCAGGGCAGGAGGACCAATGTCTGCTGCATCTCTGTAAGGCCACAGCCAAGCACTAGGCCTGGCTACAAATGCTTTACTCATTATCTTACAAACATTTATTGAATGCCCAGCACCCAGAGGTGGTAGGTGCTGGTGACACTTCTCATTGTCGATTACAAGTCCCTATCACTTTCCAATACAGGAGGGAGACAAGGCCACAGACAAGTATAACAGACTGCGGTGTCTGGGGAGGACCCAGGGGACCGCATCCTGCCCCGGCAAGTCAGAATGGGCCCATGGTGCCAACGTGCGTGTGCATTTACGTGCACATGCATTAGGAGCATGGAGGGGCTGGAGACACCAATGACAAACCCATGAGGGTCCAGACTGGGGGTAAGAGTGAGTCTCGAGACAATGCTCCCACTGCCGGCTCTCACCTTTAAGGAAACAGGCTGGAGGAGGCGTACTGAGTCAGAGCCAGCACCAGAACCCAGGCCGCCACCGCTCCAGCCATTCCTTCGGTGGAGCCAGAGGTTCAGGGGGCTCCTGGAACTGGACTGCCTCTGCCACTGTGTGGCCTTGGGCAAACCACCACCTCCTGTGCCTCGATTTCCTCATCTGTACACAGGAACGATTATACAACACCTATCCTGGGGCTGTTATGAAAGTCAAACTCAGAAACGTAAAGCCACTGGCACAGCCGGCGACAGGGCAGCCGGTACCCGAGCGACGGCTACTCGGATCTCGCTCATCGCCCGCCGGCTCTCCGCCCGGCCCTCCCGCGGCCGCGCGCCACGGCCCCTTCCGGCTCCGAGCGCGCCCACCCTCGACGCGCCCCTGACGCTCGGGGACGCGGGCACCGCGAGCCGACCCCCGACGGACGGCAGGCAGCGCGCACGCGCGGATCTCGCGGGGCCGCACGCGCCCCCGGCCTCGGGAACGCGGGGTTGGCCCGGTGAGGGGAGGGCGGCGGCCACACCCGCGAGGGAGAAGGGCTGCGTCTGCACCCGCCAGGTCCCCTCGGGCTCCCGGCCCCCAGCCCGGAGAGCGAGTCGGTTGCTCACACTCTGCAGCAGGCTCCTCCTCTGCGCCGCCATCTTGGAGGGACCCCCGCCGGCGCGCTAGCCTCCCGCCAGAGCAGGCGAGAAGGGCGGCTAGAGCGACCTGAAGCCGTCGCGGAGGACCGCGCTGCCCGGGAGCATGCGCACAGCGCCACCCCACGGCCGAAGCGGGAGGGGGCCGCGGCGTAGCTTGTGCGCAGGCGCGCTCTTCGCCCTGTCCTCTCGTGGGAGATGGAGGGGAGGCTTTTGACGTCGTTGCTGCTCGCGCATATTTGCGTACTTTCTTCAGGATGCTTTTGAGGTGGGGCTCCTAGAGCCCCGGATTAGAGTTCTTTTGAATCTTTATGATTAGGGTTCACTGTGAACACGATGGGGTAGGGAGAGGGTGAATTATTCATTCGCTCAGTAAGTGTTCTTTGGGTGACTGTGCCTGGCCCTTTATGGGTGAAGCAGCGAGCAAGGCAGGTCCTCCAAAAGCTAACATTTTAATTGGGGAGGACAACATTTTCATGCATAAGTCTTTTCAAGTGGTGCTGAGTGCTAGGAGGAGAAGTTTATGATGTGGCCTGGGAGTGTGGCGTTAACTGGCAACAGGGAAGGGCAGGCGGGGCTAGGAAGCCCGAGAAGAGGGAGTATGTGGGTTCCAGAAGCATTTGTGTCACAGAAGGCCGCTGTGGCTGGAACAGATGGAGGGGGAGTGAGGGGGAGTGAGACGAAGGGGGTGGGTCACGCTGTGACCTTGCTGGCCCCAGGCAGGAGTGGAGCTATTCATCTGGGAGACAAAGGGAAGTTGTTGACTTCTGAGCAAGCCGTGGGCATGATCCCATTGGTAGAAAGATCCCTTTGACTACTGGATACAAAACAGATGTTTAGGGGGTCTGAAGCAGAGACGGGACTGTCGTATTAGTTCTAGGCAAGAGATAGTAGTGGTTTGAGTTGTCTGATGGCAGTGGGTGGACTTTATTCAGGAGACCAAGTTGTCAGGGCTTGGTCATGGATTGGTTGTGGGTGGTGATGAGATGATGTGTCAAAGATTCCCCCAGATTTCTGGCGAGAACAGCAAGTTTTGGGGGGAGGGAGGAGCAAATGATTATGAGTTCAGCTTGGACATGATGAGTTTGAGGTGCTTTATAAAAATTTTTTTTAAATATTGGCACCTGAGCTAACAGCTGTTGCCAATCTTTTTTTTTCTTTTTCTGCTTTATCTCCCCCAAATGCCCCCAGTACTTAGTTGTGTATCTTAGTTGCAGGTCCTTCTAGTTGTGGTATGTGGGATGCCACCTCAACATGGCCTGACGAGTGGTGCCATGTCCGTGCCCAGGATCCGAACCAGTGAAACCCTGGGCCGCCGCAGCGGAGCGCAAACTTAACCACCCGGCCACGGGGCCGGCCCCCAAGTTTGAGGTGCTTTTGAGACATGCGAGAAAGGCAGTCAGATCAGTCCTTAGTTGGAGAGGACTGGAGCTCAGAGCAGAGACTGAGCCAGCAAAGACATTGAGGAAGCAGCCGCTGGAGAGACACAGAGCCCAAGGTGAGGAGGGCCTGGGCAACAACTGAGATGCTTTTTTTTTTTTTTTTTTTTTAAAGATTCCATTTTTTCCTTTTTCTCCCCAAAGCCCCCCGGCACATAGCTGTACATTCTACGCTGTGTGTCCATCCAGCTGTGGCACGTGGGACGCCGCCTCAGCGTGGTTCGATGAGCAGTGTCATGTCCGGGCCCAGGACTCGAACCAACGAAACACTGGGCCGCCTGCAGCGGAGCGCGCGAACCCAACCGCTCGGCCACGGGGCCAGCCCCACAACTGAGATGCTTTTAAGAGACTTAGTTAGATGGCAGCTAAAGAAAGTCCATCAGATTTAGCTGTCTGGAGGCCGTTGGCCCAGGCAGTTCAGGCAGACGGTAGGACAGAAACCCAGATGAAGTGAGTTGATGAATGGCTGGGAAATGGAGACCTTGAGAGCAGGCGGTTCTTCCCCCATGGTGGACTGGAAGAGGAAGGGAAGGGAACATGGGGTTGAGGGAGGGTTTTTCTTTTAGGTTCAGAGAAACTTGAGCCAGTATAATGCTGAAGGAAAGGCTTCATAGAAAAGAGCTGATGATTCAGAAGGAGGAGGGGGAGGCAGTCTAGGACCAGGATGCTGACTCACCATCTTGCTGTCCTACCAACAGCTCCACATGGCCCAAGATGACTGCTTGAGCTCCAGCCATTTTGTCTGAGTTCAGCCAGCAGGAAGGTGGGAAGATGGCACCTCTCTTCCTCTTTTTTTTTTTTTAATTAACAAACATTTACTTGCAAGCAATCTCCCTTCCCTTTTAAGAAGCTCTCCAGAGGTTCCTCGTGACATTTCTCCTTACATCTCATTGGCTGTAACCTAACCCATGGCCACATTTAGCTGAAGGGGAGGTCAGGAAACCCGGGCTTCAGACTGAGCCACAATATGCCCGGCTACAAACAGTTTCCGTCACTAAAGAAGGAATGGGAGCTGGGCCCCAGGAGACTGTAAGCAGTCTCTGCCGTGAAGGGGGGTGGGACGGGCTAGGTGGTTGGTCTATTAATAGAGGAAGAGTCTGGAAAGAATTAGGATTTGGAGCCCATCCTACTCCACTCCAATCCCTGCCCCGTATCCTGTCACCGGTGTGACCTTGAACAAACCACCTCCCCTCCCTGAGCCTCCGCATCCTCTGTGTGATCAACCTGGCAGAACGAGCACGACGATGAGAGGAGGTGCCGTGGAGGGACCTGATCTGTGGTAGGCGCTGACGCTTCTTACATTCAGACTACAGTTCAATTTTTTAAAGATAATAAACACACATTGAGCACCTCCTGTATGCCAGGCACTTGCTGGATGCTTTTTCGGCATTCACGTATAACCTGGTGAGATGGGTGTTCTATCGTCCTTATTTTATAAAGCAGGAAACTCCAGTTCAGCCAGTCACTCAACAAATAAATGTCGAGGTTGGAACCCAGGTCTTCTGACTCTGTGACGTTGAATAATAATAAGAAACATATTTGGTCTTTGTCCCAGTTCCTGGCATAGAGCCTCTGAAAGGGTTTTGAACTTTCCTAAGTGACAGAGGTGATAGGAGCATCTTCTGTTATTCCTGACAAGCACCTTTCGGTCATCCTGGAGTTTCTTAATGAGGTGACTGGTCTCTGGAAGCCCCTGGATAACTTCCGGCGGGGGGCTGATCGCCAGAGGAACGCACCGTGGGATTAGCGGGTGGCACTTAGCCTCCGCGCCCCCACCTCTAGGGAGGAGGGCAGCTGGGAATTGGGTCATTCACCAGCGCCATGTAACAGGACCTCCATAACAACCCTGAACGAAGGGGTTTGGGGAGCTTCTGGGTCATTGAACGTGTCCACGTGCCAGGAGGGTGGTGCACCCCAGACTCCATGGGGACAGAAGCTCTGCCCTCTGTGGACCCTACCAGAACTTATCTTATGTACTTCTTCATCTGGCTGCTTGTGTCGTTTGTAATAAACCAGCAGTAGTAAGTAAAGTGCTTCCCTGAGTTCTGTGAGCCGTTCTAGCGAATTATGGAACCTGACAAGGGGGTCATGGGGACCCCTCATTTCTAGCCAAATTGGACAGAAGTGTGGGCAACCTGGAGACCCACTACTTGCGACCGGCATCTTGTGGGACTCAGCCTCTCCCCCGTGGGGTCTGCACGAACTCCAGGTAGTTAGTGTCAGAATGAATTAGATTAGAGGCCCCCAGCTGGTGTGCGCAGAGAACTGGAGGATTGCCTGCTGTGGGAGACCCGCCCATTCGGCAGCCGAGGTGTAAGCACCTTAGCAGAAGACTCCAAGGCCTTTCCCGGCAACCCTGTGAGGTGGGCAGGCCCTCCAAGGCCCTCACAGCTGCTTCTGTAACTGCCGGAAGTTTCCCAAACACAGATTCCTGCCTCCGCCTTTGCACCTGTTGTCCCCACACTGGGCCACCCGGTGAACTCCTGCTCTGTCCCCAAGGCTCTCACAAATGAAAGCCCTTCTCAGAAGTGATCCTTGATTCCCAACCCAGGAGTTACCCCCTCAGCCCATTTTGGTCACTTAAAGCCATCGTTACTGTTTGCAGTGACCTTCCTGAGGGTGGGAGCTGTGGCAGTTCAGCTCTGGGTCTCCAGCAAATGTGTGTGGCATCAAATTGGTTGAAGAGTCAGACGGAGGTGAATGGACACATTGGTGGATGGGCACCTGGGGGACAGGCAGTCAAGGGCCCCAAGTGACTTAGAGGGCAGCTGGGACCACGACTTAGGGCTTCCGGACCCACCACCCCTCTGTCCGCACCTGACACTCTAAACAATGCACTGTGGTGGGTCCTCCTTTCAAAATTCCTCGGGTCTGATTTTCCAGGGAGCAAGGAGACACTGCTCAGCACGGTGCTTGGGAGAACCAGCATTAAGTCAGCGCCGCCTGTTGGCAGGACACTGAGCTCCCAGCGGGTGGGGTGGTTACAAGGGAGTCTGATGGGGACCGGTGCCCTTCTCTGGGGACAGTGTGCCTGGCAGCCAAGTTGTGAGGGGGATCCTCTTTTCACAGGACAGCCCTGTGGGTCACCCCAGGGTTTGCAATCAATCCGGGACCTGCTTCTGCCGGAGGAACAGAGATAGCACAACCACCGGCCTCAGGAACCATTGGAACAGCCAGAGCGAGCTCCGGGTGCTATCGCAGTGTGCAGATGGGCGTGCCGCTGGGCGGGACAAGGGTCCCCATGCCCTGGGACGTGCACACGTGTCCCAGAACATCAGATAACTGTGTGCCACTGCACCGTGACCTTTCCAAGCCCCAGATGCCAGAAGAATAAACAGCCATGCTGCGCGTCAGCTGCGGCCCCTTCTGGGAGCTGAGAAGGGCTGTGCACGGGTTTATAGTCGCTTCTTGTCACCAGGTCGGCAGCCAGGCTTTCTAAGCCTCCGGCCGGATCCCATCAGTCTTTTGTCTGGCCCCACAAACAGCCGCTGCAGCAACTATGGCTTGCAGACGACAGCTTCGAGAGCCGCCGGAAGGCTGCCGAGGGATACTTTGAGGGGAGAGTAATGCCTCTGCCCGTGACGCCACCCTCCTCGGTGGCCCCTGCCTTTTTGCCCTCTCTGTTCTGGCCCAGACGCAGGCAGGTGTTTTGGCCTGGTCGTCAAATGAGAGCGCAGAGACCGCTTTGGCCAGGGCTCTTTGCCTCTCTGGGCTTTTCTTGGTCACGAGCACTGCGTCCTGTGGCTGTGTGGTCTCCGTATGGATCGTCTTCATGGATGCGTCACAGTCCTTTGCCCTGATACAGCCACATTTTCAAGTGTCAGCTAATAGGCTTGTCCCTAGTTGGGGGCTAGTACAGAGGAGCTCTGCAACAAACTGTCACTCATGCGTTTAAAACTGTGTTGAATTTCTTAGAGAAGCACGATGAAGTAAATAGGGGAGTGATTTCCTTTACAATACTTCAGCAAAAGAAAAAAGAAGGAGCTGGCCCAGTGGTGCAGTGGTTAAGTGCGCACGTTCCGCTTCGGCAGCCCGGGGTTCGCCGTTTCGGATCCTGGGTGCAGACACGGCGCTGCTTGGCAAGCCATGCCGTGGCAGGCATCCCACATATAAAGTAGAGGAAGATGGGCACGGATGTTAGCTCAGGGCCAGTCTTCCTTAGCAAAAGGAGGAGGATTGGCAGCAGATGTTAGCTCAGGGCTAATCTTCCTCAAAAAAAAGGAGAGAGGGAGGGGTGAAGAGTGAATCACAGGGGCTTTAGGGCTCTGTAATTACTCTATAGGATACTGTAATGGTGGACCCCTGACATCACGCATTCGTCAAAACCCACAGAATGTACAACATAAAGAAGGAAGCCTGGTGTAAACTCTGGACTTCCGTGAATAATACTGTCCCAGCGCTGGTTCACCAACACTAACAAATGGCCCACACTTCTGCAGGATGGTAATAATAGAGGGACCTTTGTGGACAGGGAGGCGGGAAGTGTGTGGCAACTCTGCGTTTCCTGCTCAGTTTTACATAACCCTAAAACAGCTCTGAAAAATAAAGTCTATTATGAAACTCAAAAAAAGGCTGGGCTACAGTTACAGATGTGCTTCTTGTGAACACCTTTGATAGCAAGATCTCAGAGCGGGGCTAATGATGATGGACTTGGAAATGATGATGAGGGTTCCAGAACTCTGCGACAGCTGTGATTTCTACTGGCGGCAAATAAAATTCCACTGCGGTTCTCTGCCTACGTTCAGAGGTGAAGGACGAGCCGAGTTTCATCTAGAGGTCCCTGCAAATACAGGTGTAATGTTTTTGTTCCCCATCCAGGTTCACAGGTCCCTGTTGCACAGTAACCTTTCTTTGACTTTGGGGTAAACTTTTTAGGACTTAGGTTTTCTCGGGTCAAAGAGCACACACGCTTTTTTTTTTAAAAGAATTTATTTTTTACTTTTTCTCCCCAAAGCGCCCCAGTACATAGTTGTATATTTTAGTTGTGGGTCCTTCTGGTTGTGCTGTGTGGGACACCGCCTCAGCACGGCTTGACCAGTGGTGCCATGTCCTCGCAGAGGATCCGAACCAACGAAACCCTGGGCCGCCGAAGCGGAGCTCAAGAACTTAACCCCTCGGCTACCAGGCCAGCCCCAAGCACGCACATTTTTCAGGTTTTTGCTAGCAATTGGAAAGTTTTCTTCCAGTTTGCAGTTGCAATTTCCACTCACCCACTGAATCAAAGGACCTGTTCTCTTGCCTCCTCCCTGCAGCCACGGGTCTGAACTCTCCATCCCCTGGGCCACTCTGCTCCTTGATACTGAAGTGAAAACAGCCTGAGCATCAGCCCGTGACACCAGGCCTTCGAAGGTTCGCTTTGCCAGGCGACTTCCAAGCAATGCTTCCTGCTCCCCGCTCTGACCTGCCGTGTGTCACCTCGGCCACCTCCCTTCCTCTGGACCACTGCCCTACTCCCGAGAAATGGGTCACCTCCTGCCGTCTGGTGACATTTCCAGGCTCCAGCTCCCAGGATGGCTTCTCTGGGCCCGGCGCCCTCCCTGAATCCCCTAAAACGTGGCTACCACCAGCCTGACGAAAGCTGACTGCAGGTTTGGGGAGAAGAGAAGGTGGATTTAAACTGGAGGTCGCTGCTGTGAAAGTCTGGGACTCTCCACTGGGGCCGCACCAGCTGCTTTCTTCTTAGCCCCAGCAGCCTCAGCGCAGGGACTGGCTGACCTCCCGCAAGTGTGAATGCCCTTGACTGGGTCCCTGCTGCCCAGAGTGCAGACTTCCACAGCCCCCACCCCAGGGGCAGGAGCAGTCCTGGCCCCCCCGTCCAAAGCCTGCTTCAGCTCCTGGTCCTGCACATTGACGGTGGGATATTCGTTCTCTCGGGGGGAAACCCCCACCCTCATCATGGGGCCTGGTCAGGCTGGACCACCACAGCAGATGGCTGCCTAGCCCAAGTCAGGCTGGCGGCACCACCCACAGCCCCACAGCCCCATCCAGTGGCTCTTGTTCAGCCTGGACAGCCTCTTTCCAGCGGTTCCACTGAGGTCAGACCTGCCTCCATTATCCTCCTGTTTGCAGATGGCAGGATCAATGCCCCCCCCATATACACACACCCACACATGCGCACACACATACATACGTGCACACACGCATGCACATACACACATACATGCACACACATTCACACACACATACACACACTGATTTTTCTGCATGGAGTGGTTCAAAATCCAGATTAGAAAAAAAAATGTTCTTTAACTAGCAGACCTACTTTATATAAATGAATAAAGTACCTAACATCCTAGTCTAACACAGCTGGCTTTGGGCTTCCCCGAGAACAGCAGGGGTCTCTTACTTGGCAGCTGCCTGACCAAGATGGCCCATGGAGGTGATCTTTCCAGAACAATCTAGAACAAAGGGAGCGTCTTCTCTGCAAACGGATTCCCTCTCCTGCCCTAGAATGTAGAAGCTGTTTCTAACCTTTAACACAGCAGTTTCTAGCATCAGCAGTTTTAAGATGCATGGGACCAGCATTTTATTAAAATGAATGTTTGATAATTTGGCAGATTAAAAATTGTACCTCAATTTGATTTAATTTGTATTCTGATAATTACTAGAAAAATCGAACTCTGGCCCACTTATATTTCCTCCTATGTGAATTGTCTATTTAGATCATGAAACTATATTTCTGTCTGCTAACAGGGGAGATGTTTTTCCAAGTTTTCCATTTTCATTTTAACTTTATTTTTGACATGCTAAACATTTACTCTTTTTTTTTTTTTTTTTTTTTTTGCTGAGGAAGATTGGCCCTGAGCTGACATCTGTGCCCATCTCCCTCCATTTTCTATATGGGAGGTCACCACAGCATGGCTTGATGAGTGGTGCATAGGTCCATGCCTGGGATCCAAACCGGAGAACCCAGGGCCGCAGAAGCAGAGCATGCGAATTTAACCGCTATGCCACTGGGCCGGCCCCTACATTTACATTTTTATGTAGCCAAATCTATGAGTATTTTCCGTTATGGTCTCTGACTTCTGTGTCATGCTGAGAAAGACCTTCTCAACGCCCAGTTCACATAAATATTCCCTTAAAGGACCGTATTTATTCCATTTAGAGTTTAATGCAGTGTTACGGGATCTAACTTGATTTCCATACACATCACCAATTTCGCATTCGAGTCTTTCACTGAATAATCTTTTCTTTCCCCCACTGCTCTGAAATGCTGCCTTTACTAGTTTTGTAAATCTTAGACGCCAGTTCCTTTGTTTTCAAAATGCCGACTGCCCGGGGGTGTTTGGCTGATGAAATGGAGCAGCATCTTCAGAGCCCTTAGCTCTGGAACGCGGAATCCGCTCCAGACCTGCTGGTTCTCTTCCCTCCTCCTTCTCTTTTCCAGGCCCGTCTCGCCCTCCTCGTGCCATATGCTTCTGCCTTTTAGCCTTGGCATTCTGGGAACAGCTCCAGATACACAGAAGGTGCTTACTAAGGCCTCACCATTTGGCCCCCAAACTGCTTTTTGACCTGTTATCACCTCAGCCAAGGTGACCTTGCTCAGGAGGACTGGACGGGGACCCCCGAGGAGAAGATGGTAATGACACAGTGCTGGAGACTTGGTGGGGGTGTGGGTGGGGGTGAAGACTTCACAGGGAAGATGTCCCTGGAGCTGAGTCTAGGAGGGGAGGGGAATTGGGCAGGCAGAGAAGGGAGAAAGGGCACCGCAGGCGAGGGAACAGCGTGATCAGAGTCGGGAGGCTGAGAGTGCCAGAGCCGTGTGGCAGGAGGCTGGGGATGACAAGTCAGGGAAAGGCTGGGGCTTCGGTTAGGCGGGAGTCACAGGCTCGTACTTGTGTTTTGGGAACATCTCCCGGGGCCAGATGGCAGGCAGAGAGACCAGTACTAGGGGGCTGCAGCCATAACCCAGACGAGAGGGGGCTGTGGCGTGGATGAGTATGGCGGCCATGCAAAGAAATGGGCAGTTTTCAAAACTACCCAAGTAGGTGAAACAGAAAGACTGACCGTGGGTGGAAGTGGAAGGGAGGGGAGCAGAGGGTGACCCCAGGTGCCCGGCTCGGGCAGCGGGGTCGGGGGTGGAGGATTTCCCGAGACACGAGCACGAGAGGAGGCAGGTGTGGGCCTGGGTTGGGGAAGACTAGGAGGTCGATGGAGTTGGGGGGGGGGGGAGGGGACACTGAAAAATTCAAAATGTACAAAATTCAGCGAATTATTGTATGCGTTCCAGGCACCTGTTGCAGGTGGGATGGTGGGAAGTGGATGGTTTGAAAAAGATTTAGGAAGCTGAGTCAACAAGATCCGGAGGATGCTTGGGTTTATGAAGAGGGACAAATCTCGGATGATACCTCCAGGAGGGCAGTTAGGGGCTAAGGGTGCCTTTTTCTGAGAGGGTGAACATGGGGAAGGGAGGAGGTTTGCTGTGAAAATTAGTTCATTATTAATTCAACAATTCTCAATGAAGCACCTACTATATGCCGAGCACTTTCGTACTTGGGAAAGAGCAATGACAAGATCCCTGCCCTCATGGCACTTACAGTGAGGAGAGCCAGACAATAAAGAAGTAAACAAGTAAACCTATGTCAAGTGCTATGAAGTGCTATGGAGGAAGGTACAGTGGGAGTGGGGGCTGCATGTTTTCAAAGGCATGACCAGGGATGGTCCCACTGAGAAGGTGTCATGTGGGCAGAGACTTCGAGGGCGGAAGAGCATTCCAGAAAGAGGAGAAAGGAAGTGCAAAGGCCCTGAGGCGGGAACATGCTAGATGAGTTCTAGGAACAGTAAGGAGGCCAGCATGGCTGGAGAAGGGGGAGAGGGGCAGCCGGTGGCGTGGGAGAAGCAGTGGAGGCAGATGCCGTGGGAACACATAGGCCGTGGCAAAGACTCTGGCTTTCATGCTGAGAAAGACAGGAAAGGTTTCTGGACAGTTTTGAGCAAAAGAGGACTATGAGCTGACATATTCTGAAAGCTTAATGATTAAGAATTCCTTGGCCTTTAGATCCTCATTCTACCACTTTCTAGCTGGGTGACCTTGGACAAGTTACTTCTCTATACGTCAGTTTCATTATCTGCAAAATGGGGATAAAAATAGTAGACACTTTGCATGGTTATTGTGAGGATTAAATAAAGTTAACATAAAGAAAGCACTTGGAACAGCATCTGGCACATAAGAAGCACTGTAGAGTGGGAGCAGTTATTGTGATAATAATCATTGTCGCGGCTGCTGGTGTCGAGCACAGACTGGAGGGGGCTGGGCTGGAAGCAGAGACACCGTTGGGGCGGGTGCTGCAGTACTTCAAGAGAATGATGAGAGCAGCTTGGGCTAGAGTGGCCACAGTGGAACTGGAGAGAAGTGGTCAGAACGAGGAAAAGCTGACAGCATTTGCCAGTGGATCAGCTGTGAAACACGAGAGGAAGGGGAAGCAAGGATGGCTCCAAGGATTTGGCCCTGAGCACTTGGAAGACGAAGCCGCCTTTACTGAGATGCGGAGGCTGGGGGGGGAGCAGTTTCGGGGAGAAACAGCAGGAGTTTGGCTTTGAGCAAATTAAACGGGAGCCATCGACCGGATATCTCAGTGTGAAGATACGGGGCTGGACGTAAAGCGGCCTCCGCTTGGGGTGTACACGCGGGAGTGGTCAGTTTCTGGTGGATATTTAACGCCTTCAGACCAGATGGGCTCACCAAGGAAGCGAGTGTGGATGGAGAAGAGGGCCCAGCACGGGCCTGGGGGTCTGCCATGCTGACAGCCAGGGCTTGACCCATGCCACCGCCCAACTGATGGAACTTTTGTGGAGCCTGCGGATTCTTGAAAAAGTGTGAGGAAAAGGACTTTCGGTTTTGTGGGAGATCTCTCAAACGTTTGAAGCGGCGTTTCTAGGACACGTAATTGGGACGGGCAGGGCAGACAGCAGAGACGGGCAAGCACGGAGGAGGATGGAGGAACATCCAAAGCTGAAGCCTTCGCTGAGCCAGGAACATTCGGAGCCGGGGGAATTTTTACATCAAGCAGGCTTTCAGGACATATGAATTACCGGAAATGTATAAAAATAATTTAACAAAAGGCAGCTAAGTGGCCAAGAGCATGGGTTTTGAAGGTGGAGCCACAGAGTTCTTCAGGCTCTGCCCCAGTGTGACCCTGGCTGTGCCACTTCTCTCTGGCCCAGCTCCTCATCTGGAGAATGGGATTGGCTTGGTGCCTCCACCACGGGCGCCGAGAGAAGTGAAATAGATAATGCCACCAAAGTGCTCAGCATAGTTCTGGCCCTAAGAAAAAACACACAGTTTTCTTCTCTACTGCTGCTCACACCAACACTTCTGACACCAAATGTGTGGGTTTCTTCCCACACCGACCAATTCTCTGACACCAGCTGGGTGTCCGACAGCTCAGCTCAGTCCTGACACTCTTTACCTGGCATTAGCGTCAGATCCCACAGGTTACGGGCTCAGGCCCGTGACACCGCCCTCACCTTGGATGCTGATCACCAGTCCCAGCCTCCTGTGCTTCTGCCCGATGGGCTATAGATTGGGGGTCCCCATGACCCCCTCTATGAGTTCAACAATTTGCTAGAATGGCTCACAGAACTCAGGAAAGTGCTTTGTTTACTCTTACCTATTTATTGAAAAGGATACAACTCAGGAACAGCCAGATGGAAGAGAGGAATAGGACAAGGTATGTGGGGTGGGGCGCAGAGCTTCCACGCCCTCTCTGGGCCGACCACCCTCCCAGCACCTTGCCGTGCTCACCAACCTGGAAGCTCTCTGAATCCTTTGGTTAGGGTTTTTGGAGGCTTTCTTACGTAGGTACGATTGGTTAAATCGTTGGCTATTGGTGATGTACTCAGTCTCCAGCCCCTCTCCCCTCCCTAGAGGTCAGGGGGTGGGGCTGAAAGTTCCAACCCTCTGATCACCAGGATGGTTCCCCTGGCAACCAACCCCTCATCCTTAGGGGCTTTCCAAAAGTCACCTCATTAACCTATACGCAGGTGTAGTTGAAAGGGGCTTGTTAAGAATAACAAAGGCCGCTCCTCTTACCCCTATCATTCAGAAATTCCAAGGATTTTAGGAACTCTGTGCCAGGAACCAGGACTGGATGAAGACCAAATATATATTTATTATAGCACGATATTACAGGTCCACAATCAAGCGTAGCTATCTAATTGACAGGGATACTAAAAGGAGAAGAAAAAAAGACAGCATGAAGGGGAAAGGGAGAGGGGGCTGGGATCAGTGTCCTGGGCAGGGCTGAACTTATGGGCGGGCGACCTGTGCCGACACCCAGGTCCCCGCTCTCAGAATGAACCCGGCTCTTGATTTCCTGCTCTGCCTTCACCATCTTGAAATTCCTAAGAATTTTCTCTTTGAACTTGTGTTTTGTAAGGGAAGACCAATGGGACAACGAAGCATGTGTGTGAGCAGAGAAGATACACCAGGTGGCAGCAAGCAGGCTCCAGCCAACCAGAACAGCGGGCAGTGGGCAGCACGGGTGCCGAGCAGTTGGCCTGGCCACCTGGCGTGCACCCACATGGCTGGGCAGTCTGGGACACCACGGGGCTGCAAAGGGGTGGCCAGGCTGGGAACTGTGCCCAGACTGGCAGCAGCAGAAGATGGCTGCCATCCACCAAGGCCGTGGAGAGAGGAGGGACCCACAGGGAAGAGCTCATCTTGTAGCATCTATACAAATACAGGGTCTACCGCCTAAGTCTGGGACAGGAACTGCCGGTCCTCAAGCAATAAACTGTTGGTA